GGAGGTGACTGTCATCATCAGAAGTGCTATCTCTGATCAGGTGTCCATGGGGAGGCTCTCTAAGCCTCAAAACAATCTTGCCAGGCGGGTGTTCCTCACCCCTTTTTCTGGATGAGGAAACTGAGTCTTGGAGAGGTGAGTTTCGGGGCAAAGGGCTCTGGTTCTGTACCAGAGGGAACCTAGGAACAGTCCTGAGGATTCCTGTCCTTTCCCACTAAATGTCCACCAAGCACCTCCCAACCCTGAGAAGCCCCAAGTCTAGTTGGGGAGACACACACACCAACAGGTAATATTAAGATAGGCAGAAAATAAAGAGGGCCGACGGGAGTTCATGGGCAGGATCATGTCCAGCTCGAGGCGTGGGTGATGGAGGAGGAGACGAGGCATCCCCAGCTCCCCAGAGGAGGGAGCATTTCCACTTCCTGAAGGTTGAGTAGGATTTAGACATGCTGAGATATTATGGGGGAATGAGGGTGGAGAAAGCGTTCCAAATGAAAGGAACAGCATGGCAAAGGCCAGAAGGTAGGAAACCAAAAGCTCATGAAAAGTTCCATTTGACCGGATAAAGCTACGCTTAAAGCTGATGAGAAAAGGGGAGCCGGATCATGAAGACCTTGACAAATATCAGGGCAGCTGAGAAGTTTGGCCTGTCCTCCTCGGTAGTGGGGAGCCACTGAAGGATTTTGAGCAGCATCCTGCTGCCTTAAGAAACTCAATCTCGTAGTCATGTGGAAGATGAATTGGTGGGGGAGGGAGGCAAGGAGACTAGTGACAGGGCTGATGAAATAGTTCAGGGGAGAGGTGAAGGAGGATGGAAAGGGGACAATCAGTGGGAGGCAGATCGAAGGAAACGACTTGACAACCGATTGGATTTGTGAGCAGGACAGAGGGAGGCGCCAAGAATGAACTAAATCCCAGGCCTGACCGCCCCTCTTGGCCCTCGGGCCTCGGCTGCCTGGCTCTCTCAGAAGCTTGGCTCTGGCCCAAGCGCTTATCCAGGCCAAGTCTCCAAGTGAGGCTTTAAAGCCAATGACTCCTTGAATGTCTCAGCTGGAACGGCCCAACCTCTTCATTGTACAAGTAGGTAAACTGAGGCCCAGAGAGAGAGAATCACCATATGTTAGTGGCAGAGCCAGGATTAGAACCCAGGAGGGCTCTAGACTCCCAGTTGTGCATGCCTCTGCAGCTTTCTGCACATTCTCTCCCCAAGATGCTCAGATTTCCACCTTCATTCCAGCCCCTGCTCATGGGAGGCTCCCCATTCCCCAGAGGGTTTGAGTGACCTGCCGGGCTCACTCTGTGACATGAGGAAGCCAGCAGTCTGACTCTCAGCCCCCATAGCCTCCTCTGGCTCCATATACAGGTTCAGCTGCCACATCTCAAGGCCAGGCTCCCTGCAGTCTCCCACAAAGCCTGAATGCCAGCAGAGGCCAGCCCAGGGAGCAGGGATGGCCCATGCAGACTCAGCCCTGCCTCATGCCACTTTCTTCTTGCAATAACAACACTAAAGGAAACCGAGACAAGAGACCCTAAAGCTCTACAGCTCTTCTGTTTGCTTTTTGCTTTGCCCTAATTCTGAACACCTTGGTCCTTCCACTCAGGACACAGACCAGGATCCCGAGAAAGTGTAATCGCAGGAACGGAGGGCCCTCGGCCCCCACCACACTTCTCAGACGGGTGTGGACCTGCAGCCTCTTGGTATTGATTAAGGAGATAAAAATAACTCTGCCCTGGAGCAGCCACTCTTGGGGCTGATATGCCTGAATAAGGCCCTGTCTCCAAGGGGTGGGAGAGTCAGGAAGAGACAGGAGCAAAGCAAAGGAGAAGATTAAAAAAAAAAAAAAAAGATTAAAGAGGGACCCAGAGGCTGGGAAGGGGATAGGAGAGGGGAGGGGCTGGTATAGGAGTCACCGGGGCAGACCTGCAGGAGCGCCTGCCAGAAAGGGGTGACAACTCCCAATGGAGGGGCTTGACAGGTGGGTGGGTGTGTTCTGAGTGGCGGGCAACCTGGATGACAACAAGAACTGCCCCCCCCCCCCCCCCACGTATTCAGCACTGACTCAGCCACAGGCTGATCCCTCTGTTTATTTCCTCTCATTTAATCCTAGCAACAGCTCCTGGTGAGGCAAGTATGATTCTGTCGCCATTGCGTAGGTGGGACAACTGAGGCTCAGAGAGGTGCTGTCACTGGCCCAAGGTCACACAGTGTATCTGGCCTCACAGCATATTCATCTAAACTGTGGGGACTCTGGCCACAAGATGGGCAGGGAGATTTGATGGATGGGGGAGCGGAGCCCAGCTGGGATTCTGTCTCCCCTCCCCCAGCTCCTGGGGTTAAGGGCTGAGGAGAAACCAGCCCACAGGGAGTTGGTGGCAGAGCAAAAATCCCTTGGGCTATGTCCCTGAACCTAGTCCAGGGTTCCTTGGGCTACATCCAAGGGCTTCGGAGGAGGGGCCAAGTTGGCCCCAGGAAGCCCTGCGGGGTGGAGGCATCACAGTCCTCCCAGGGGCCCCAGGGAGGAGGTTCAGGCTCCGGTCACGGCAGAAGGGCCCAGGCACCCCGGGCTCTCTGCCTCCTAGCAATAGTTGGCCTCCTCAGGGAAAGCATCTCCAGCAAAGCCCTTGGTCTCTAGAAGAGCCGTGAGGGCAGTGAGCAGGGGCAGGAGAGGGCCCACAAGGCTAGTCGCTGTGGGTGCTGCTGGACGGTGGTCCCAGAGATCTGCTACCTTCCCCCACCCCCACCTCCCTGCAGGCACACACAGGTGCTCCTGAGTAGGTCCCTCTGTCACAGGCAGCGCAGCTGCTGGGCCCCCTCCTGCCCCTTTCCCAGCTCATGAGCCCTGGTGGAGTTTCGGGAATGGGGGTGGGGCTGGAAAAATGATCAGACTCAGCTGGCTGAGGGGCGGGGCATTCTGGGCTCTAAGGAATGGGGACTGGGAAGACAGACAGGCAGAGGGGTGGTGGCTGGGCTGCCAGCGCCCAAGAGGAAACTGCTCCTGCACCGGCGCCCTTGGCGGGCTCCTTGGCTGCCCCGCCCCGCCTCCTCAACGCCAAGCCACGTGCCATGCAGACTTTGCTTCGCCAGGTGGCGCTGTCCTCCTTGAAGCCCCCTCCCTGCCGTGTGGAATATGGCGGGACCGGGGCTTGAAAAGGGGCGGGGCTGATGTTCAGAAAATAACATAGGCACAGCGGTACTGCCTGTGGAAATAGTGAAACGCATGTGTCCTACTAGTAAGCAGCCACTGCCCTGAGTCCCCGTCCAGTGGTCCCAAGCAGCCCAGGACCCTCCACCCTTCCCAGATCCACCAACTAACGGGTCTCCGCCCCGCACAGCAGGGGGTCCTCCAGACCGGCTCTGATTGGTTGGCATGTTCAGTATTTATGTATCACCCCTGGGAAGGAGCACATGCGTCTCTATCCCCAAAAGCAAGCCGGGCTCCTCAGTTCCACAAGAGTTGAACTAACCCCAAATGCAGGCCACATAGCTTGCGCTGCAAAGATCTCTGGGCTTAGTGTCAGGCAGATCGAGCTAAGCTGACCCTGGCACCTCTCTTCATCTGTTCCACTCACGGGGCTGTGGTAAAAGAGGTATGGGGGGGGGGGCAGTTAGATGGTTTCTAAAGATCCTGATTTCCACTTTTACTGGGCTCTAATTATTCCCTGATCCCTCTCACACACCTTCTCTCTCTCTGACACACACGACTGCCTTTTATTTTCTCTCCCACCAGAACTGACCCATGACCTGGAGTTGAGAGAGGCCCAGTCTCACCAGCAAGGTAAGGGAAGGATGACTGGTGGGGAAGTGCCATGGGGCCAACAGGTCACCTTTTCCCCACCACTTAGTAGGACCCAAGCCTTCTCTATCCCCAGTCCAGGCTTGGGGACTCCACTCCTCAGCTTGTTAAGCAGATGCAGGACGTCGGTCCCACTTGCCCACTCAGCTGGGTGACCTTGTTGCGTGAACAACCTGTACCACCATACATAGTGCCCTGTATCCATGTCTCTGTCCAAAGTAGGAAAATGAAAGCAGGAAGGAGATGGTGCCCAGGATATCCACCTGGCTGAATTCATTCCTTTCTGTGACCCACCTCCCCAGTCCTTCCCATCCTTGCAGAAATGATTCCCATGGTCAGTGTCCACGCCCTGCAAGATGCTGAGTGTCAAGATGCAACACAATGGCAGTATAGGGGTCCTTGACTTGAAGGAACTTAATCTAGATGAGGGGAAAAGAGACACACGCACATTAGCAAATCTTTCATTTTACAAAAGCATGACTTCTTGGCAATGTAGCAATTCCACTAAAAAACTTGTTTACAGATTATTACTTCCTCTGTAAAACGGGGGGTGGCGTGGGGAGTGGTGTTCAGTGGGTATAGGGTTTCAGTTTTGCAAGATGAAAAAGTTCTAGAGATCTGTTGCACAACAATGTGAGTATACTTAAACTATTGAACCATACACTTAAAAAATTAAGATGGTAATTTTTAAGGGTTTTTTCTTACCACAACTAAAACTTTTTTAAACTGGGAGGGACTGCATTGTTGAGATCTTAATCACCAGATTGTCTGATCTCTGAGAACTAGGACTGGATGCCCATGGTCTCCAAGTACAAGACACATTACCCGACATGGAGAGGAACTCCGTAAATGCCTAATTAAAAATGAATCACAAAAACAGTCTTTTTTAGCCAGGAGAAATTTAAGAATGGGCCATGTTAATGTGCTACTCATAGATCAAGAGCTACATGGCCAAGAGTTCGGGATGGGGAAAGCTGGAAGTTGAGAGTAAAATTAAAAGCCCTACACATTGCTTTGTGTATTTGTGCATAAAGATCTAAAGACTTACGGACTTGAATGAATGCTGCCCACTCCTTTAAGTGGCCACCACGGGCAACCTCTTGGTGTCTAGGTGCTTAGAGGAAGGGAGCACACATCCCAGACACCAGGTAAGGACAGTTCTGTGACAACAGCAGTTTCCCCTCCACCTACTGTCCTTCCTCTGAAGGGCTTTGGAGTCACCTGGGCTCAAGACACTGCCACAGTGTTCCAGTGTTTACCTTCTTTCTCAGTGCCCTTGAGAGCTCTCTTTCTTTGTTCTTTTCTTCTATGATCACCGAGTGATTTTCATATCCCTTCCAGCATCACCTTCTGCCTACCTTCTGTCACCTTTCAGCTCCATACATCTCTACACTCACATGTGCATATCCCGGGATACTGTCTCTGCTGAAATGGGACTATGATCCAGTAGGCAGGAATCCTCAATTCTAGGGGTACATTAGAATCACCTGGGAAGATTTTTTTTTTCTTTGAGGAATATTAGCCCTGAGCTAACATCTGCTGCCAATGCTCCTCTTTTTGGTGAGGAAGACTGGCCCTGAGCTAACATCCGTGCCCATCTTCCTCTACTTTATATGTGGGACACCTGCCACACATGGCTTGCCAAGCAGTGACATGTCTGCATCTGGGATCCGAACTGGCGAACCCCAGGCAACTGAAGCAGAACGTGCGCACTTAACCGCTGCACCACCTGGCTGGCCCCTACCTGGGAAGATTTGAGAAGTACCAGTTCCCAGGTTCAATCCCAGATTCTGACTCAACTGGTCCTTGGTTGGGCCTGGGAAACTATTTTTTAAAGCTCTCTAGGTGGTTCCAATATACATCCAGTGGTAAAGGCAACTGTCACTGCAGTGGCAAAGGCAGACAAACAAAAAAATTACCAAGTGCAATAAATGCTCTCTCTTTGAAGGAAACAACAAGGTCTGGGCACACTGACTCCTCTCTCCTCCCCACACTCCCAGTTCTTTCAGTCCCTTGGTCTTGCGTGTCTCTCCTGCCACAGGGCTTTTGCACAAGTTGTTCCCTCTGTCCAAAGCACTCTTCTCTCCCTTCTTTACAACTTAGTTCCTATTCATCCTTCAGATCCAAGCCCAAGTGGCTCTTCTGCTGAGAAGCCTGCCCTGCTTAGGTCACATTCTCCTGTTACAGTCAGGGCACTGGCACATCAGAGGCAACCTCACATTCATTTGTGATTCTGTACTGCACCTCTCCCACTATTCTTACTGTAAACTGCATGAGGAATGTTTTATTATCCACCATATCCCCAATGCCTACCACAGTGCACATAGTTGGGGCTCAACAAGTATTATGGAGTGAATAAATGATCAGGGAGGGTTTTGCGCTTAAGCTGAAACCTGAAGAATTAGAAGGGAAGCCAAGCAGAGGGTAGGAAGGTGCAAGGGCCCAGAGGCAGGAGGAGGAAGGCCAGTGTGGCCGAAGCGTGGGACGCGTGGTCGGGGAGGGGCAGGGCTCTGTCACGTGGATCGGTGGGCTGTGCAGGTTCCGCCAGGCGGGATCATCACTTCTCCCCGTTATCTCTTCCTTCCAGAGGCGGCGTCCCGGGAGCTGGAGAGCAAGTGCCGCGCGCTGGAGTCCCAGCTGGCGGCGCGGGCGGCGGCCAACGCGGAGCTGCGGCGGGAGGTGGCGCAGCGCGAGGCGCTGGTGTCGGCGCTGCGCTGCAGCCTGCGCGCCGAGGAGCGCCGCTTCCTGGACGAGCTGCGTCGCCGCAGCCACCGCGCCACCGTGCTGGGCACCGAGCTGCAGAAGCACACCGAGGCGGCCGCCTACCTCTCCTGCCAGCTGCACGCGGTGCGCCAGAGACTGCAGACTCCGCGCCCGGGCCCCGGCGCCGCCGCCGAGCCCCGGCCCCGCCGGCGCGCACAGCGGGCCCGCCGCCTGCCCGCCGCCGCCGCGGAGGCCGCCGCCAAGGGCCCCGGCCGGGACTGGGCCGCCTGGGACCGCGCGGCCGGCGCCCTGGACGACGCCGATGCCATGCCCGACCCCGCGCTCTTCCTCTACGCCCGGAGGCCCCCGCGGCCCAGCGGCCGCAGCCCGCGCCAGCCGCCCCCCCAGGAGCCCCCGGACGAAGCCGGCCCGCAGCCTGGGGCCTGCCGGAGCCCGCCGGCCGCGCCCAGCCCGCCCGGTGCGCCCGGGGACCCGGAGTAGGCGCGGTGTCGGCGGGGTGGGGAGGGCGGGGAGGCAGGGCCGGGCAACGGCTAGGACGCAGCTCGGGCCGCGCTGGCAGGTCCCCGAGGCCGAGGGAGTCGGTCCCTCCTCCAGGGGGCGGGCGGAGGCGGCCCCCGCTCCCCAACCCCGTCCCACCGCCCCCGCCTTTTGTATTTCCCGATGTTTCCGAAGCTTCGAGCTCTCCCCTCCCGCGAGGAAGCTCCTGCGCGGGGCTCAGCGATTGCACCTTCTTTTGTGGCGTGGACTCGCAGTGCCGATCCCCACCCAGCCATTGGGAGGGGAGGGGGCAGGTGTCACGCCCTGCCCCGGGAAAGCTGACAATCGTTTGGCGGGAGGGAGAACGCTGGGCTGGCCTCCGGAAAGGAACAAGAGTGGCACTTAGCACCCTTGGGCCTTCTAGCCCCTCCCTGCGGCCTCCCCGCGCCCCGCACGCCTGCCCTTCCCGCCGAGCCTTGCTCCGCGGAGAAGCTCGGCGGCGGGCTAGAGGCTGGGCCTTTCCCTCGGAAGCCCCGTCTCCTACCCCTACGCCGCTGATAGGTCCTTAGGCGTGAGCACCGAACACTTTAGAAGAACCTCCTCGCAGAGCTCCTGGTGGAGAAAGTGTGGCCTGAAGGAAGTTTGAACTTATGGAAAGTAGCAGCCATAGACCCTTAGAGAGGATTACAGAGTGGCTTTGGCAGCAGGACCTGGTGTAGAGCTGTCTGCAGCTCGGTTCTTTCCCGGGATGCCGACCAGGTATTTAGACTAGGAGCTGAGCTGGGGACGTGAGGGGGAACGCTCCAGAGTCGGGCCGCCCTGCCAGAATGTGGAAGGGCAGCAACTGCCTTCAGGAGGTCGCTGGGAACCTGAAGGCTGCCCTGGGAGTTGTCCTAGTCCTGTTTATTGGTGCTCATTTTGCCCAGCTTCCTAATTAGCTGGCTGCACCCAGAGGCGGGAAAAGTACCCGGCTGCTTGGAAGTGGCAGTTGTTAGAGGTTTGAGTTTGCTGGGGCGGGAGAGCGCAGGTTAGTCCTCAGCCTGGCCCCCTCCAGGGAGGCCCCCAATCCTATCAGGTGACGGGGTGCATGGTGCCCTTCTGTCTTGGTTGGGGAATGGCCAGATGGAAATGGAAGGCCCCCACCTCCAGCTGCGTTGCTCCCCTCTCCCGACCGAAGGCAGGCAGTGCAGTTCCAGTCCAGCTGGTTGCCCCTCCCCCCAAGCCCAGCCTAGAAAGACACACCGCTAGAGCCCTCCCAGCCCCACGCCATTCCTCCTCTGTTGGTCCTGCATCGAGTCCTAAGTGCCTGTGAGGTCTTCCAGGGGCTGCCGAGGGAGGACATGGGGTAGGGAGAGGCCTTTACCTCCCTCATAAACACCGCATTCTGGCAGGTCCCCACCCTGGCTGAGGTCGTGCATTCTGTGTCACCCCGGGATCCGGGCAGTGAGCAGAGTCAATCTCTAAGGGTGATGAACCCTTCTCCCCGTACGGCCGGCAGTGAAGAAGAGGGGGGAAGTCAGGAATCATATCCTCTTTCACTCTATATGTTAGAGGGAGGGGGAAATCAGCAGGAAGCAAACCCAGTGAGCACACTCCCGCCTCACACCGACATGCAGCCCCTCCGGGCTGGCCACACTCAGGGCTGCTGAGACCACTGAGCAATAACCAGGCCTGGTCTGGGCGTCCAGCCACTGGGATCAGATGGCCAAGGTGTGGCCACCCTTGGGACAGACAGTGCTCTCTAGTCTAACCTGAGCCACAGTAGTGGCCCAGGGTCCTTGCTCTGCCTGCCCCTGCCTCTACCCCCTGCCCCAGTTCTCTGGTTGAGCCTCTGCCTTCTGTGTCCCCCTTCAAGTGTGTGTGATGCTGTACCCCTCGTCCTGTCGCCCTCCCTTTCAGAATGGGTCTGTGTGAGGAGGCCTCTCTTCTCTCTTGACTGCACTCACAGAAGGAGCCCAGAGGATGTGGGAAGGAGGGAAAGGGTCTCTTTCTGGAGGCACCCCCCAGACCTTCATCTTCCACAACCACACTTTTGGGGTGAACAGGGTGACTTTGTTACGTCGCTTCTTCTACAGAGATGGTGAAGTACTTGATCCACCTACCCACCTACTAAAAGCCATAGCAACACCCCCCTGGCCTCCCCCTGGCTCTATAGCAATAGCCCTCTTCCCCCTTCCCTCCTGGGGCCCCAAGGTGTCCTGCTGGGGCTCCCACCACACCCCCACCCCAGGGATCCTCCGGTGGCCTGCCTGTCTCTCCCCAAGTGACCCCATCAGCACCTCCCAACTCCTGTCCCTGTTCTAGCACCAGAGATAATGACATTTAATTGTTTGTGGGGTGCTTGGAGAGCCCTGAGATGAAAGAAAGTCCTAAGTGCGGGGGCGGCTGAGTCACTGAACGTCAGAGGTATTGGGCCCCCTTGGAAGGGAAATAAGGCGATCCTCCCCCCTCCACTAGCAGGCTGGAGGAGGGGCTGCGGCTGATACAGGGTCTCAATTTTAGCAGAAATTCCCTTTCCCCATCTGTCTCCTGGAAATAATGGACTAGAGACTCCCCTCCAGCTGCCTGCTCCGGGTTTTGGAACAGAACACTTGGTGCAGCAGAATGGGACTGGGAGTCAGTGGCCTGCTTGGCCTCAGCCTCAGGGTTGGGAGAGGCCCTCCCCGTCCCCTAGCCTGGGGGACCCACCCTGCCAAAGGAAAGACTCCTTCCCACGAGCTCCTGGAAGGTCTGGGTAACTAGAAGGGAAAGGATTCTTTCTCCTCCTGGCTTCTCCCCTCTTCTCTGCTGCACGAAACCCCAGCGGGGCAGGGGTGTGTTGACAGAGACATTCAGGGGCCCTAGTTGGAGCTCCAGCCACACCCCAAGTGTGCACAGACCAGGAAGGAAAGTGCAGGTGGGGAACCCTCCCTGTTCTGGAAGCCAGCCAGGGACCAAGGGGCAATGCAGCATGAGGCTCTGAACCCCTGCCCCCCATCCCACCCACAGTGGCCTGCAGTTGAGGGGACCAGTCCAGGGCTGAAATGGGGTAGCCCTTCTCCAAATAAGCAGCAGAATAGAGGCCTCCCTGGTAGAGAGGAAGGGGACCGAGAGGGTGTGGAGCAGCATGTCCTCAGTGCGGAGGGTGGGGCATCCCTAAGCGCCCTCTCGCTGAGGCGCCAGCCTTGAATGGGGGACAGGCAGGGCTTCAGAACCCCCTGGCAGGAGCCCCGTGAGCAGGGCAGAGGCATCCTGCTCCAAATTCTCTGTTGGCTGCGCTTTTTAATCCAATGCTTTTCAGAGTGTATTCACTCACCCACAGAAATAGAGCCCTGTGCTTTAGGGGTGACTGTCATATGCCTTATTCTTAATAAAATATCTGAAAAACACATAAGGCAGACCTCCTCTCTGTGGGCACTCCGCCTCACCCCACTCCCGTTCCCGCAAGTGTGGAGAAAGGATGCAGAAGAGGTAGAGAGTGGTTTGGGAGTCAGGCAGTGGATTAGGTGAGACTGGGAGCTGAGACTCTGGAGTCCCCTCACATAAGGCATAAGGCACTCATCTGAGATGTCCCAACGCACAGGCTAGCTGTGTCCCTCTCTCCATGCCACCCTGAACCAAATGAACGAACGAGACTTTCAATCACAGGCTCTTGGCTAGGGTTGGGAGGGATAGATTGGAAGGGTTCCATGCCTGCAATTGCCCATAATCCTGGCCTGGAAGGAATCCCGGGGTTCTGGCAATTTGGCCGGGCTGGTTCCCCCTTCCTGACACCCACCCCCATCTGATCCAGCTGCATCCCCGAGAAGAGCCCTATTCTTATCCTCCACTAATGAGGGTTATCCTGGGACTGCAGCTTGAGCGCTCAGTACACCCAGCACCCACAAGAATTCAAGCCTGTGTGTTTTAAGCGCGAGGCTGTGTTGTGGATGGCTGTAGGAGAAAAACAGCAGCTCTGCATTCTAAGGATGCAGGGGACATATTGCTTTTGCCTGTGACCTTTCTTCTGATAACAGGACCCATCATTTCCTTTTGGGCAACTGCCTTTCTCCCATTTCAGTCCATGAGTTGGTGGGGGCTGACTCCACCCAGATAAGGTAGGTCACACTGGTTGGGTTGGAGATGGGCACATGACTCAGTTTGAGCCAATGAGAGTCGATCTCAGGACTTTTACTGGAACCATTCACTCAACACACAAAGTTAGGTGCTGGGGATACAGCAGGGAACAAAACAGGACTATTGAGAAGGACACTCTGGGGTGGCTAAAATGGCAGAACATCAGCCTGGAAGTCTGGCAGGCTGGACCACACCTGCAGCAAGCCTGGGAAATACGGCCCAGGCCTGTGCTTGTCCCTGGCCTTTTATCTCCCAGGGCAGCTAGAAGAGGGAAGCCCCAGCACTGGATAAACATCTACCAAGGGTCTGGGATCCCATGTTCAGTTAGAGAAAAAGGAGCGAAGAAGGGGAAGGAAGAGACGGGATTGGCCTTAGGATCCTCCAACAGAGCCCTGGGGTTGCTTGGCTGAGCCCAGCCCAGAGTCGCAGTGCGGGGTGGAGATGTGCAATGACAGCACCAGATAGCTCAGAGATCATCCGTGCAACCCCCTCATTTTGCAGATGAGGAGACTGAGGCCCAGGGCATCTCGCTGTCGCCCCTTCCCTCCTGGCAGTTCTGCCCACACAGGTTTGGGGGTGAGGAAGGTGGGGCATCTCCTTTCTCATAGGTCCCTTGAATCAGGCCTGCGACGGACGGGACTACTTCCCACAATCCAGGGGGTTTGGGTTCCTTCTCACCTCACCAACCCCTTGGGAACTCTAAAAAGGAGAGGAGAAGTAGGCATGCCCAGCCAAGTGGGTACATCCATCATAACAATAATTAGAGAGGTGGGACGCTTTAAGCAGGCTAATTACATAGGCTTGGTCTCAGCCTCGATAAGCCTCCTTTCATACTAACTTAGCATCTTTCCCCAGGGGTCCTAAAGATGGGAAAACTGAGGTGCTCAGGAATGCTACCCAGGCAGCCCTGAGGATGGGGGTTGTGTAACAGGAGCCTGCTAGGGAAAAGGGAAGGGGATCCTTGGAAGCCAAGATGTAGGTTTTAAAGCTGCTGGAACCAGTTAGTCACCAGACACAGGGACAGGCCAATCACCAGCACCCATGCTGACCAGTTGGCACTCAGGCCCTGACCAAGAGGACAGGGGAGGAAGGCCAGGGCATGGTGCAGGCTGGTGCCTCTCCAGGGCTCAGCCCGGTGGGTCTCAGCCAGGCATTGTGGAAATGCTTTGAAGCTCTGGATACAAAGTTCAAAGCATACAGTACACAGAAGGGATATCTTCAAGGAAAGCCAAGATATTATAAATAATGATGGGGGTCAAAGGTGAAAGACTGGACTGCTAGCAACCCTCCCCCCTCAACATCCTGTGGAGCCCCCAAAAGCACTGCTTGGGACCCCCTACTCCTGGGTCACCCCTTCAATCAACATATGTGCATTAAGTACCTACTATGCATCAGGCTCTAGGAAGATGCTGAGGATACCCAGATAAATAAGGTGTGGTCCTCGCCTTCAAGAAGTTCCCCAGTCTAGCAGCTGGACTCCACCTGAGAACCAGACATTCCAGTTTGGCCAAGGCGTTATCAATGTATGCTTGCTGTCCAGTGTCATTATTAATAGTGTCCGCTGTCACTCTCAAAAGTGTCCTGGTTTGAATAAGTTATATAGTCACCTTAATGATCCCCATCTGTTTAATCTGTACACAGAACATATCATATAAAAAACTGGGCTAGCTTTAGATGAAAGAGGAGTGAACATTGGTGGAAGGAATATCAACAATCTAAGACATGCAGATGACACCATCTTACTTGCAGAAAGCAGCAATGACGTGAAACGACTTCTGATGAAAGTGGAAGAAGAAAGCGCCAAAGCACGACTGCATTTGAACATCAAGAAGACAAAAATCATGGCTATAGAAGAACTACACAACTTTAATGTAGACAATAAAGACCTTGAAATTGTTGAAGATTTTGTTTACCTCGGTTCAGTCATCAATTTAAATGGAGAGTGCAGGCAAGAAATCAAGAGAAGACTGAGACTCAGAAGGGCAGCCGTGAAAGAACTGGGAAAGATCATCAGGGGTAAGGAAGCGTCACTGTAGACTAAGGCCAAGATTATCCACACCCTCGTATTCCCAGTTACTATGTACAAGGGCAGAAGCTGCACAGCGAAGAAGGCTGACGGGAAAAAATGGATTCATTTCAAATATAATGTTGGAGGGGAGCTCTGCCAATACCTGGGACTGCCATAAAGACGAACGAGTGGGTCCTAGAGCAAATTAAGCCTGAACTATCGCTGGAGGAAAAATGATAAAACCGAGGCTGTCCAACTTTGGGCACTTCATGAGAAGGCAGGATTCCTTGGAAAAGACAATAATGCTGGGAAAAGTAGAAGGCAGCAAGAAAAGAGGAAGACCAAATATGAGATGGACTGACTCCATAAGGACAGCCATAGGCGTGAGTCTACACAAGCTGAGTAGGGTGAGGACAGACATTGTGGCCGTCACTCATTCGTAGGGTCTCCAGGAGTCAGAGCTGATTTGACAGCACATACCTCACACACACACCCTACCCACAGCACAATGTGTAGACAATGGTGGGAATAGTTGAGGAAAGTGGTGGGAGTAGTTGCTGTTAAGACTGTGATGAACAGACATTGGTGGAGGCAGCCTGAAAGCAAAAGTCTGCTTAACATGTGATCAGAGGTCAGACTACCAGACTACAGAGAAAGTGGTCACAGGATGACGCTTTTTTTTTTTTTTTTTTTTTGGTGAGGACGATTGTCCCTGAGCTATCATCTGTGCCGATCTTCCTCTATTTTATATGTGGCTTGCCGCCACAGCATGGCTTGATGAGTGGTATAGGTCCACACCCAGGATCCAAACCTGCAAATCCAGGGCTGCCCAAGTGGAGTGCATGAACTTAACCACTACACCATCGGGCCGGCCCCAAGGATGATGCTTTTTGTGTGTATCACTTTCCCCGTCCCCAGACTTGCTGCCTCCCATATCAAAACTGAGCTATGCTTCTGGTTATGAGTAGTGTTACCAACATGAGGGGGCTTCCAGCTTCAGCTACACTGGACTAGGCACAATTCTCCAAATTCTTTGAGTTTCATGGGTACAAACTAAGTACTCATCAGTCTGGAGACTGGTCAAAAGAATTATGGTATGGCCACACAATAGAATATTATCCAGCCATAAAATCGAATGAGAAAGCTCTTTGTGTACCCATATGGAACAATCTCCAGAATATATTATTGTTGAATAAAAAAAAGCAGGGTGAAGAATAGCAGGTACAGTATGTTACCATTTGTGTAACTCAAGGGAAAAGATATATATATTTTTTAATTGAGGTATAATTGACATATATATATTTATATGCAAAGAATATCTCTAGAAGAACATAAAAGAACTGGTAACCTTGGTGGTCGGAGGAGAGAAACTAGGTGGCTGGGGGCAGGTGAGAGATTTCACTGTATATCCTTTTGTACTTTTTTAAGTCTGAACCATGTGAATCTATTACCTGTTCAAAATTCTAAATACAATTAAAATGCTTTTTAAAAATAACTAAATGAGTGAATAAATTCCCACAGTCGCTCCTTCTGTGTCTGCCCATATTATTCTTCTGACTTGTTCATTAAAATCTTTCTTACCTCTCAAAGCTAAGAGCCGCCTCTTTCCAGAAGCCCTCCCTGACTGACTCTCCTGCACACTCCAAACAGCCTTCTTTAAAGGCCTTTTATTCTGCAGCCTTGGAGGTGAAGTAACTGTGTGCATCTCACTTCATCCACCAGGTTGCAACTTCTTCCGGCAGGGACTGGGTCCTGTTCATCTCTGATCCTCCTGCAGCTCTGAGCTCTTGCAAGCTGTGCTTGAAAGACTGAGTGACTCACTGAGTGTTTTACGCTACCTAAAGTGCTTTGATGACCACCGTCTCCTCCCAACAGTTAAGTGAGGCTAGACAGATGGGTGTTTTTATTTGACAGAAGAAGCACCTGAGATTCAGTGGGGTGAAAGTCGAAACACTTGCTCGAGGTTACAAGAAGAGACAAAGTAGAGGTTGCAGGATGCAGATTTCCAATCCAGTACAAGTCAGTGTTAGGTTCATGCACCACTCTGGCTGCCTGCCTTCCCTGTACACGCAGGAGTCAGGTCTTGCTTTTATTTCTAGTCTTCTTGTGCAATAGTCCTAACTCATCTCCCCCTAGTCAAGCTCAGTTCCCCTTATCCTCCACACAGCAGCCAGAGCATTTCTCACCTCCCTTCCTCCTGCTTAAATGCTTCAAGTCTTTCACTAGCTCCCCTTCCCACCACGTGTACTCCAGGACAAAGTTCAC